ACTCTGTGCCACCACTTAACCCTATCCGTACGTCGTGTTTTACTATCGTATCTATACGACGTGGGGAACTCTGTGCCACCACTTTCCTAAGAGGAAAGTTACTCTTTAATCCGATCCGTACTCTTTGCATAGCAGTCTGTCAAAATGATTTTTTGAGAAATACTGAAAGTTTCAAAGAGATCTTCGCACTAAAAATATTCTAAAATTATGTGAAGAATACAACCCCGGGGGTCCAAAATGACCCCAGGACGTACGGATAGGGCTAAACAACAACAACAAACAAAATGAAAACATAAAATAGAACTGAATTGAGCTTCAAACTCTATGAATGAAGACCTAGGCGTTGCCAGGGACGCGCAGGGTGACAGCGCTGTTTCTAATTAAATCCTATCAAAAATGGTGGCACGGCGAGCTGAGAGGGCCCACACAGCCATAGTGAGTTTACGTGGGTGACGTCACAGCTGCGACCTCTTGTACTATTATAACCTCTTTGAAAACCCGGAAATCTGGGTTAGCCCGCTTGTCCTTAAAAGCGACCATAATATAGATTATCTAGATTTCTATAATAGATCTAGAACAATTTTGAAAAATTTGTAAAAGAAAACCTCGTAACTTCATGTATCTTTAAGTCAGTACCACATAATGTTAACTGTGTCTTGAAGATTCTGTGAACAAAATTTTATAACGCCACCTGTGATTGATAAAAACCAGAAAATGTCACTTTAAAAACGTGTACACTAATACAAGATAGACGCGTGTTTCCATGGCAACCATCTCTATAATCTCTTTAAAAATCTCAAAATTCATGTTTAAGTAAGATAAGTAGGAACAGTCTAGATCTAGTACATGTATATTATTATAGCCATATTGGCATTTATACTATTTTAAAATCAAGAGTGTGGATTTTAGTTTTCACTTACACCGCGCTAACTACTAACGCTCTGCGCCGAAACTGAAACTGAAACTGAAACAAGAAGCATTCGTGGAATCAGAGACACATCAGCCAATCAGAGAACTCAAACCGCTGACGACAACCTACAACAAACAACACGGTCTCATATTTGGAGAGCTAACTAGGACTACGCATCTTTCTGACTAGCCTAGGCCTATTCTATTCTGCAGCCGACAGACAGACCTATGAGGCCATGCCCATCACTATCACACTAGATCTAAGCCTAGTCTAGTCTAAGCCTAGTCTAGTGTGCAATTCGCCATTACTTGCTGGTCGCTCGGTCGCGCACCGTTGTACATTCCCAACAACGATTAATTGTTTATTCGGACGACATTTCTTCGTTCAGTGCAGTTTTAGTTCTATTTTTAAAAACAGCCAACCCTCAGTGAGGGACAGGGTTGCATTTTTTCTGTTCTCTGAGGGAGGATAGAGCAGAAACGAGAAACAGCCTAACATTTTTCTGTTCCTTGAAGAAAGGACAGCTTCCTAAAAGCAAGGAGCAGTGTTGTTAAAGTTAAAAGATAGTTTTGTGTGCCTTCCCAAGTCCACGTTGATCTTCAAAGAAACCTAGATTCTACGACAGCTCAGAACTTTGTGTTCAGATTTCTAATCGCTGGTGAGTTCTGGCAGTTATTCTAGATCTAGATCTATATCTATCTCTCTATCTAGATATCTATCTACCTACCTATCTCTCTATCTATCTGTCTATCCGTCTAGATTCTATCTATCTATCTATCTATCTATCGACCTATCTATCTATCTATCTATCTATCGACCTATCTATCTAGGCCTATCTATCTATCTATCTATCTATCTATCTATCTATCTATCTATCTATCTATCTA